TATTGAAATAAAAGATATATATCATGTCAATTTAAAGTGGCACAACATCAGAGTTGGCATTTGCTCATAATGGTGGAAATGATAGAAATACACCAAAACCATAACTTTCCCCTTTGTGTTGAATTTCCGCTCATTCACACTTTGCTTGGGGAAAACACTCAGCAGAATAAAGTAGTTCATGTTGATCATGTAGCACAGATATTGTGACGGTTGCAGGTGTCAGTGCCCTGCCTTCTTCCACAATACAAAGTTAACTTGGCCATACGAGCTGTTTAGTTCCTGAGGGAAAACTAACCAGTCTGATCAGACTGAACTAAAGAGTGATGATGTTAAATGACTCTGATGCTGACAGATTCCCTCAGAAACTGTTTATTCTCAGAGATGCTGTTTGTGTTCAAAATACCTGTTTTAATATTTTTTTAATTAAATTATAAAAACACTGTTTACTATATTAATCATTTACATTGAGTGAATCCTCTCCATGGTGAGCGCACAGTGCTGTGGGAAAGTATTTTCCCTCTTCCTCATTTTTGTTTTTGTTTTTTTGTGTACTTGTAACTTCCAAAACTTTTATCTTCTATTTTTCTGTTTCCTAAACTTTTAAAATTTCTAGATTAACATGCAAAAATAGATAATATTGATCTATCTTTGCTGTTTTCTCTGAATTTTTAACTTGAAGGCATCAAAATGTGTCCGTTCCAGTTACCATGCAAATGGTTGTAGTGCCAAGTTGATTTAAAAACTCCACTATGTTCACAAGGAAAAAAGAATTGCCACAGGCTAAAGACAGAAAAGTCACTGTGGGGCAGATTTCACTGGCTGACTGGTCAGATCGGACCAAAGTTCATGTTTGAAAGCTCAGTGTTTTTTTTCACTATCAGGACCAGCCCTGATAGTTTCTATGACAGATGTGCAAATACAAACTTCTCACTCCTATTTTAGTCTTCTCATACCAAAGATCTGTTCTCTTTGAATATCAAGTAACACGTAGGTGGAGTCGACTCTTTGTAATGAGTAATGTTTGACGTTCAGTCAGTTGCTCGGTACTTCCTCTTTACTGTGACTAATTTGTATTTTAAAAACATTGAAGTCACCTCTTTCTCTTTGTCATCGCTGTTATTGTTTGTGTGTAGGTGGTGCGAGCCAAAGAGCGTCTGGACGAGGAACTAAGTATACAGAAAAAAGAAGAAAAGCAGCAATCACAGCAGAACACAGAAACATGAAGGACAAAGCGATGCCCGATCTTTCCTCTCCCCATCCTCTGTAAATTATAACCCAATTAAAAGTCTTCTCCTTTTCTCTAGTTTTGACTTTGTGACACTTTTTTTGCCAAGCAATGAGGTGCAAAAAAGGAAACTATAATTCTAAACATACGATTTTAGCTTATGTGCTGAATTTAACTGCATCGAGTTGAATGTTAATCAGGTTATTCTGGGTTGGTTTTCACCTGTTTTAATGTATATGGGATAGAAATGAAAATGCACACAAAAGTATCAAATGCAGCTTTATTAAACATTTTTTTGTTTTCATTGACATTATTATCAATATCGTAATAAAATTCCTCTAAAACAGGAGAACGCCGCTATGTTGTACCAATTGGAGACTTTTACAACTCTAAAATTCTGCATGTTCGACCATAGAACATGATGCCAGGAAAAAAAAATATATTTTCATATAATCATTTTCTTTTTCATAGTGTATAACTTCTATATTTACCTATAATAATAAAAAGGCACTTGGAAAAATTAAAATACTGACATAATATCTCACAAATGTGCAAAAAAACAGAACTTGGAACAGGCCTTGCGTGGCCTTAGTCTTATCATTAACCCTTTGTGCAACGCCGTAGCGCTTTCGGTCAGCGGCGCCCCTTTTACCCTGACCCGACTCGCTGACAGCTTTTTGCCCTGGATTTCAGCTCCACGTGTCTCAACGTGAAGTGTTAAAATCTGCAGGAGCGCGTACCACTTTTTCTTTTTATGCTATATGAAAAATAAGATTTTAGAATTCAGACATTTTAGCGACTCCGAATGACTTTTTACAATGACTTTGTTCCCAAAAACAACCGACAAATAACGCACTACGCTGAGAAAAGACGTGACAGCATCACCTTATCTACACTCGCTATAAAGGGGGGAGGGGGGCGGTTTATTACAGGCTGAGCTCAAAGGGTTAATGGATCGTACAGCTTATTTAATATTAAAGATGTGTGGACCCTGGAAGGATCCGTGTCAGTATCGTTCAGATTTCTGCAGCCACGCCGAGTCTCTGTCCCTGGCTTCGACCAGCAAGAGGAAGAGACAGACAGGGGAGGTGGAGGAGGAAGAGGAGAGCCGCAGCATCTGTGGGTTTCACTGTTGCCATGGAAACCGTGTCTAGCCTACTTAACACCTGTTTTGGTGACATCACACGCCAGGATTGTCCACTCAAAGAGCGAGAAATTCTTTTCAATTCAATACCCACCCGGACTCCAAAGACAGGCCAATGGTGTGTGTGTGTGTGTGTGTGGTGATTTGGGGGGGGGTGAGATAATAACTAACAAAATTACTGAGGCAGAAACACAGGTAGGCTGTGAATCCTGGTGGACCTGTGGGCAGCACAAACTCAGGCACGGGGCTTTATACTTGTTTTGTTTGCTGTGAAAGTGGCCTTTTTACTATCCTTGTCAAAACAAGAAAAGCTTTTTGGCCGGGAGGTGGGGGAGTTGAGCCTGTAGGTTTAATCTATAAAAAAAAGAAAGAAAAAAACCCAGAGGGCAGCTAGAGTTCAGTGGCCTAGTTTTCTGCAGGCTGGTATGCCTCTGAGTGGCTGCCACATTGGGCACAGCACAGCACAGCGACTTCAGAGCTGAGAGGGCCGTTTGCTGGGGTAGGTGGCCAGATGGAGAGTGGCTGCGCTGCACAGCCATCCTCCACTGGCATACAGCCTCTGCTCTCATCTCTCCCCATCCCTTGTCTATTCATTTATTCATTCAGCCAAGCCTTTCTCTTTGCTCTCACGCTCTCTCAGTGCTGCCCAACATTTCACAGTCAGATGTTTTCCTTTTTGTTGTTTTTTTGTTTCGGATACTCTCTCAATAAAGACATTTATTATGCTCACACTCCCTCAGTGGCACACACCGGTGTGTTTGTCTTGGAGGACTGTAATGTCAAAGCAGTGGTTCCAACCTTTTGGCTTAAGACAAAAGGGATCAAATCTGCAGTTACGGCCTCGAAATCAGGGTTGCCAGGTTTTGGTAGAATCTGTAAAGTTTTGGAAGTGCTGCCTCTTGTTTGTTCTGCATGAAAATTGCGCACATCTATTGATAGAAAATCCACAATTTCAAGGACATCATTCATTTGAACCTAAACCTACTGAACAGATTACAGATCACTGTGTCTGCCACCTTGTCTTTTTGCACAGTGTATGGTCTTAGTCTTAATATATGTTCAGCAGATCCCCCCAAACACTGATACCGTTCCTTACAACACGGTTTCATTTTAACTCTTTAAGAAATTTAACAGCGTCGCCTTTTACATATCAATAAAGACGTTGTTTGACGATCATTAGAGCAGGTTCTATGTTTTTTTCCAAGGGTAGCCTTGGTAAGCTGTATAGGCAGAGCTCACTTCTGATGCAAACCCAGTCATTTTGCTCTGGAAGCAGATCTGCAATATGACAGAAAAGACTGAGATCAAAGAGAAACAAAGGTTACCCATAGAAGGCATCCAAGAGGGGAGGAGTTAAGGAGTTTGTGACACTGTATAGGAAAACACACTGAGGACTTAACTGTCTCTGTGAGGTTACGCTCGGGAAAGGCAGTGTGTTGAAGTACATGATAACATACTACAATGGAAAAAATTGGCCATAGGTGTGAACAGTGGTCTGTCTCTCTGTTAGCCCTGTGACAGACTGGTGAGCTGTCCTTTTGCCCAGTAAAAGCTGGGATATGTGCCAGCAGCCCTACTAATCCTGAAGAGGATGCATGGGTGGATGACAGCACTAGATGATAGAGATCACTTGAATTATTAAAATGATCCTGAGGGGCAAAAGAATCACACTGGATTCATTATTCTAGAAAGATTAAAGATTATTCACATATAGGTTTAATGGCAAAATAACGGACTGGCAAACAGACTTAGTGTCATCCACTGATCTACTGAAGCATTTTTGAAGTTTTTAAAAATTATTACCCGACCCATCAGATTTATAATAATATCCCTTTTGTCTCCCAGATGTCAGATTGGCACCACTGCTGCTGGAAAACCAACCAAAGCTCTCCCTCTCTTCGACTCTTCGACCTCTCGAAAGACTCGTCCTCAACAGCAGAAAGCTGATTTGCAGAGCAGCCATGACAGAACACAAGAAGCATCTTCAACATTAGAAAAAAATGTCTCGTCTGAACAACAGCAAAACAAAAAGAGAGAGAGAGAGAGAGGAAAAAAAAACACGAAACAGCAATAACTGAATGTATCGCCCCCTTGGATAAAGTGATGAAAAAAGGAGACAGCCAATGAAGCGGAAGGAGAGGGGAGAGATGGAGGAGTGAAGAGAGAGGAGGGCTGGGGTTTATGTCAGTCTCTTGAGGGAATGTTCCTTGTGTTATGATCCTCCTCTCCCGCTCCTCGACCTCTCTCTTCTGTGCACGCAACAATCAAAGTCAGTGTCACGGACAATTACTGAGCGACAGGCGTCTGGAAGGACCCACAGCAGGAAAAAAACGGACTGAGAGCAAAACAACTGATCAAAGAACCGTGTAACATTTCATAAGAACACACAAGGGATATAGTTTGTGATAAGTGCATGTCGACAGCTTTATCAAACCATGAGAAGAAGAAATGAGTCTTTTTTTGTTGTTGTTTTGTCCATTTTTGCCCCTTTGGACAGAGTAAATTGAGGCAGTTTGCAATAGTGTGGCTTCATAGTCAGTCCAGCTGTATGTGGCACTGGGTGCATAACCCCCCC